TTGAAATGTCTCCGCCTTGCTCAATGATTCTGGGATCAGATTAAATCTCACTCAAAATGTACTCAACTTCTATTGAATTTAAGTGGGATGACTGCAAAAACTGTACTTAAACCACAATTAAGGCAAAGATGTTATATATTTATTATTTGGAGGGGCCCAGATTTGTTGATTCCATGCAGGGGTCTGATGTTGTGATGTTGCAAAGACCCGAGGGCCTGAGGATATGGTTCTGCTGCTCACATACCTCTGCTGAGAATTACTTGAGCCACCAGATACTGATGCACAGGGATTCCACTGTCAATCAATCAAGCTTGGATCACCATGTGGCTCAGGGATCAAAATGGGTCCACCACTTACAAGACATATATGCTTCTACCCTTGTTTAGTGGGCCCTAGAACCACTGAGCAGTGCTTGTCAGATTGAGAGAGAGAGAGAGAGAGAGAGAGAGAGAGAGAGAGAGAGAGAGTGAGAGACAGAGAGACAGAGACAGAGAAAAAAGACAGACCGAAAGAATGAGTGTGTGTGTGTATTTGTATCCAGGTTTTATATAATTTAAAAGTTTTTATAAATTGACTTTGTCCAGAGTTCACAGTGCCTTCCCCAACCATATTACCTCATGCCCCACGGAAGTCATCCTTTGTAATTTGCCAGGTGATACTTTCACCCTCTCAGACAGTGGTCTACAAGCTTAATAGCTTATTAGAATCACCCTGGTGAACTTGAAAACTATTCTAGTGCTCTAGCTCTAACCCGAGATTCATTTTTAATTGGTCACGGTATTTTTCTGACATTCTCCGCTGCATCAAAGAAACTTCCAAGCTGCCCTACTGGTTTGTGTTTTGACTTGAGGCAATCAGAACATTCAAGGAATCTAATTTAGGATGAGAGAGAAAATGATTGGTTCATTTCTGTGGGCTGTGCAACTGAACAGCGGCAAAAATCAAGCAGTGGACAAAAGCAGGTATCACAACAATGAGAGCAGAGAAGTAAAGGTGGAACTCAGGCCCATAAAGTTGGTGGCAATGCTGAATTGAAGTCCCCTGGGTACTCCTCTGTCTTTATAACTAATCCCTTTTTGCTCTTTCGGCTTGTTAGAGTTTGTTCTTGTTATACCTGACCCCAGGCATCCTGAAAACTCAATAATTTAACTTAAAATCTGCAGTTCACAAAGCTATCAATGTATCCACTCTAGTATGGAAGTCATTCATTTCCCAGTGTACTTATTTGGCATTTGTCCTCTATGTCTGGTTATTAAGCACCCTAGATGCACAAAAGTTGTGATATGAATTGAATATTGTGCACCAATAATGTGAACGATTTAAGAATGTGTTTGCCAAGCACAAATATTTTGTGTGAGTAAATGGGTTATCTATCTTAAAATAAAAGTGGGGTCTCTGGTAAGAACAATTAGATAGATATAAATGAACAAGCAACATAAAAAGAACAGTACCATATTTTATCTAGAAAAGGTGTGTGCATGCCCTTTCTGTCTCAACACAATCATCCAATTTCCAAAACATCCAATATTGTTATCTAGAAGGTAAAAGGTAAAGGTAAAGGCCCTCCCGTTGATCGTCAATTTACTCGAGTGGGCCCAGTAACGTCTCCATTGGAGACTTTGTTGTTACTGTGTTTGGCATATCGAATACTCTCGGTAGCTTTCCGGGCTCTCCGAGAGGGGCGGAGGAATCGAACTCGGGTCGGCCATGTTGGCCGCTTGTAAGGCGAACGCCCTACCCGCTGTGCTATCGCTCCAGCTAGAAGGTAAGCATATAAAATGTCAGTTGTATATTACCTACAGTAAAAGGTGCTCACGACTTTTGAGTAAGATTTTCTATCAAAATTATAAGCTTCTCTGGAACAACCGTGTTCTTAAGTCCATTCATTACAAGTCTAGCACAGCTTTGTGCAGAATAGAGGCTTTATTAATGAATCCGCTGAAATGAATAAAATGGGGATCAGTTCAGATTTTTATAGCAGTTGTACATACTTAAGATAAATGTTAGCACCAAGCCTACACATGAGAAAAATGATATTTATACAATGCCATTTACAATAATGTTTTAATTCTGTTACATCTTTGCTTCTCATATTTTGAAAATGCAATCCATATAACTTTTATTTATAATTAACTGTCCCCTAGTAATAGCTTTTCAGATTACAAATCTGCTAGTCCCGATAAAAAGCACTTGAAAAAGATTATCATCAAATTCCACAAACATTCAGACTGTATCACATTCTAGTAAAAGTGCTACTGGAAAAAAAGCATAAGAAGACATAAGAAAAAAATGTGTCTGTAATGATAACATCAGTATTTAAGATTTTATTAAGAAAAACTTCCTAATTTATTAACCTATTGGAATATTTTGGGAAGGAAATTCCATTTTACATTCTCTTGGGAATATTGAGAATATTCACAGAAACTGCGAACCAGTATTTCCTCAAATGCTGCATTTTGGATTGATAAAATATTTATATATTAAAATATATTGGGATTTCAAGGTGTCTAAAGGTAGCTTTTTTCCCAATGAGAGATCAAGAGCTAAACACTGCGAGTAACAAATCTACAGTCTTATAGATATGGAAATAATATATTTTGTTCCATCAACATGTCTACTTTACATTATTCAGCACAAAGCTCTTTGAAATAAGAATCATGGGAATATAAGAATATAAAGGAAAAAGGTACAAATAACAGCTTCATAAACTGAGAAATGTACATAAATAAATCATGTATATGTGGGCAGTTTGCTTAGCTGGCAAGAAACAAAATATGGAAAATCTGCTTGTTAAACAATAACTACAGAGTGTGCTTTTATGATGTTTTTCACCACAGTAATTCATATTAGAGATAGAAGCAGTTGCATGTTAAATAAAATCATTGAGCATTGTTCCCCTCGCATTGCAAAGAGCTGACTTATGTTGTTTTTAGATGCCTCCCATTAGAAAGTAAATATTCCTTCAATGCTGTGCATTTCACAAAATTTAATAAAGAAGACTGTAAATAAAGTCACAGGGAGATTTCAGACAGTTTTATTAGGAGATTGTTGAAAAGAAAAAGAAAATTAAATACAATAACAGTAAACGTGGTTCTCACATTGAAACCAGGCTCAAAGAACTAGGCTACCATAGAAAAATTTCCAATTCTTGCATTATGATGTAAAAACAGATTTTTGTACAGATTTTGTACAACAAAATTCGTAATAACCTTTTATCATTTTTAGAAAACTTTAAATATATAGATAAAAATAGACAATTTTCATAGGTCCTACATGAAGATGAGTATGTTCTGTTCCAAGGGCTTGCATAGAGCACAAATGTGGTTATAATATAGAACAACTAGACATTAATATTTTCAGAATTACAAAAGTATGGAAACCATAAAATGAGCACAATTTTACTTGTTTATACCAAAAAAAAAACAAATTACAAACCAACCAGTATAACTAAAAAAATGGGGAAAACTTTAAGTTACAGACTTAAAATAACATTTTATGAATCATAATATTTACAACATGTTAGTAAGATTCTCTTGATGTTTAGCTGATAGCTTTTTTACTTGAATCCTTGCTAAAATTTCATTTATTTTTATTGAAACAAACTCTAAAGCATTCTCAAAGGTCTTGAAAATGTGTATTTTAAAACTATTTAATCTATCTAACAGGTGACTCTATGCAAGGAGCAGAGCAACGGCAGATTCTACTACATATGTAAGTTGGAGGCTTTTTAAAAAATCTTTCAAAAAATGCGTGATTCAAAAGCTTGCCACAAGTTCTTCCAATTGTAAGTGTTGTAATCCTTTAAAGACTGCATATAGGGGAAAAAAGAAAAAATACATATACTTAGGAATAAAATGTGCTGTACGCAAATAATGAAAAATGGTTATGGAAGAATTATGCTTTGAAAACCAGGTTTCTATAAGCACTTACTAACAATACATTAAATAAAAATATCGCTCCCTTTAAGCAAGCTAAAATAGGAATTGTATATATAACTTTTATGTATTAAAAATGGACTTAGATGATTAATAGCAAGCTACACAAAAGAGATATGTTCCAGTATTGCAAGGAAGACCTAAAAACTATAGAAGCTTAGTGCCAGAGTATCTATAATGTTATTTTTTCTTGACCAAATAATTAATACCCAATTAGAACTATCTTTAAACATTTTTAAGCAAATAGCAAATATTCTTGGTCATTTTAGATTTTGCTATTAATGGTAATAAATATCATAAAATTTTAAGATGACAGCAAAATCATAAAATGTACAGCAACTGTACTGATTCATAATATCAGTCTTTAAAGGTGTAACATCATATACAGGTGAAACCACAGAGAAGGTAACTTCAGCATGTAATAAGCACTGTTTGCAGTTTACTTCCAGTTATCTGCACAAAAGTGAAAACACATACTGTAACTTCCAAATAGACAGTGAAAATAACAAGTAGCCACCCTTCCCTCTGACTAGGATGGGGAGCACAATACATTTTAACTTTATCATTCAGTGCTACATGGTATTGGACTGACACATCAAGGGTTTGTTAGGTTTTTGTCTTTCAGCAACATTAACATAATATGACATTAACATATAAAAATATTTCTGGTGTTTTGATTTTACTGTTCAGCCACAATCCATTCTCAATAGTGCTGTTTGGGGCACTAAAGAGTTCAATATACAAACAAAAGTGACTGAGACAGAGTTCTGATGTCACCAGATGCTTATGATCTCATTCATTAATACTGTGACTCCAGACAAATATTTACATGCCTGCATGCGTTAAAACCAGAAAGGTGTCTTTCTGACCAACAGGGTGACAAAACGTATTTCTAAAGTTTTCATTTTCCTAAACTCTATTATACTACTGCATACATAATACCTTCCTTGTATGTTTATGTTTATATACTGTACAGGTGACCAACAATTTGAATAAGAAGCATCATTATTATTTTAAATTCTATATATCACTACCGGTTTGGAATGAAAATGTGTTACTCTTGAGTTTTCTTTTTTTTAAGAAAAGAGACCATCAGTGAAACTGTCTGACTTATACGTAATGCTTCTTTTCAGATCTGTAAAATGATATTTCACTGTGTTATTCTCCACATCCATTTGTTGGTCTTTTGGAAAGCATGTGAAAAAACTCTTCAGGAGAAAACCCACAAGTAGGGAGTGAGTTTAAAATTGAATGTAACAGAGCCGTATTCTTTATTTTCAGATTTTTAAAGGAATCCTTTATGCCCCTCCCCCCTCCCACGAAAGTTTATTTCCAACTGTTCTTGCTGGTTTCTGGAGGATATAATTCTGTAAATTTGTGTGACCACTGCAACAAGAGTCTATTGATGTGCTCAGGTACAGAATTTTCAGAAGAGGAAAATGGTTCATTCCATTAGAAAAAACAAAGCTAGGTCTCATCCAGACCTGCTATTTACTCCGTATACAAGGGTCCAGCAGCAAAGTTGCAGTTATTAGCTGTAAGAAGTTTGATACTTGTACATTTACAAACATTCTCAAGTCTCTGTCATGAACCACAGGTGAAAAATCAATGGAGGAAACTTTTGTTGTAGTTGAATACTTAAACTTTTAAAGAACATCAATACACAAAATTGAGGAAGTTCCCTTCAAAGGACTTTATTTTTCACCAAACTTCCAATGGCGAATGTCTAACTGCAAAATTCTTTATTATAACATGAACTTCTTCGACAGGAAAAATTCAGTACATGACAGTAGTTTTCAAATACAGTCTTCCATCTAAAAACAAATAACAAACATTACTTATTAATAACAGGAGACATAATTATTTAATACAAAAACCGCAGAACTGGATATGAAACTTGTGCACTTTATTTTATCTTTGTTTAAAAAGTTACCGTTCTTCATACAGTATCAAAGTTAATTTCATAATTACGTTCAGTTTATGTGATCAAAATGAATACCTCATTTCTACTTCTCATAAATATATATTTGCTATTTTGATATCAGTCTGAGAACATTCAGGGAATAGATGAGTATATGTGTGTGTGTCTTACTGATATGCAAAGCTAGTTGATTTCTGTTGAATGACAATTACTTCCCTCAAGCTTGCAAAACCAAATTTTCTCTGAACGCATTCAGGTGTATCTCCATCATGAAAGACTTAGCTCCCATCTTACTCTTTAGCAGTGTTGTTAAATATACCATGTAATGTAACTATTGTGCACATTTGTTGCTATTTATATGAAAGTCATCTAGGTTATTTCATCACTATCAATGAGCTATAGCCTTTCCCCCAAAAGTGAGTTTAGACAAACAATTAAATATTAAAATGGAAACTATACTCCAGTTCTTACCAGTGGAAAACACAGTTATATGAAAAAGAAATATTAAATTAATACTGGACCGATTCAAAGGAAGTTGAAGACATAGAAAATTAAAAGCCTAGAACATAAATAAAGCAAATTCAACCGATTAATATTTTTAATGCCCCCTAAACTACCCACTTTACAGTTTAAGTAAAAGTGTGAATATATTAGTAAAAATGTGCCTAAACTTTAAGCTTCAGCACCAAGAGTAGAAGGAAAACAGAACAAAAAAAAGTGTCCAAATGTTAAGCACACACACATACACTGCAATGTATATAGATAAATGTCTGCTAACCTCAGAAATTAAAATAACAAGGGGCCAGAAAGATTGTACAAGAGGAAGAAATTTTCCTTGCACATGGCTACCCCAGTTCAAATCATGTAGCACATATATATCACTAGGGGTCACTTCTGAGCACACAGTCAAGAACTGTCCCTGTAAAGAATCAGGAATATCATATGTGTTTCCTTACATACATTTAGCATGAAATGATTCTCAGTTTCTATATTGCAAATTGTCATGTCCAAAAAGAGAAAAAGAGAGAGAGAGGGAGAGAGAGAGTAAGAAGGAGGAGGAGGAAGAGGAGGAGAAGGAAGAGGAGGAGGAGAAAGAGGAGGAGGAGGAGGAGGAGGAGGAGGAGGAGGAGGAGGAGGAGGAGGAGGAGGAGGAGGAGGAGGAGGAGGAAGAGGAGGAGGAGGAGGAGGAGGAGGAGGAGGAGGAGAAAGAAAAAGAAAAAGTGCATGCCATAGAGGCAATTTAGGGGTAGGGGTGGCTGATCAAAATTAGGGACATTGGTGGTGGAAATGTACACTGGTGGAGGGATGGGTGTTGAAACAATATATGAGTGAAATGGTGAACATGACCAGTTTTGTAACTGAGTATCTTAAAGTGACTCAGTAAGAAAAAAAAACAGATCAGGAATAGTAAATTCACCTCATAAACTAAAATAAGAAGGATGAGAAATAAGCTTCAGTCAAATTGAAAAATAGTTAACAGTCTAAGTATTTGAAATTATTACTATCAACATTAAGTAACTAAATTTTTAACTTAATTAAAGTGGATACAATAACTTGCAAAACACCAAAAAATAAACTTTTACTTTCAGGAAACATTTACATCCCCATATTTAATATTCCTATGAGATTTTTTATCTTTGACTAATACCTACAAGATGTCATGGACATTTACCTTTGCGATATATCACAGAGCAGGTAGTATGTTCAATAAATGTTCTAATGTATGAATTAATGAACTAATGAATAAGATACTGATTTAATATAACTCACACAAATGTTTATAGATGTTATCAGTCCATATATTCCACATACTTAAATTATAAATAATTCCACTTTAATATAGTTATTAAATTTAATTAATTGTCCTGTATACAAATCTTTCACAAATGAAAGATTCAACGTATAAACGAGACATCAGTTTGTATAGGTTAAGATATTTCCTTGACTGAATAATACTTAAATATCAGATTACTTTAAAATTAAATAAAAGCAGAAATATTCAAGAATAGAAAAAGCTGGATAGGGTTATTCCGTCTCCCCGTTTAGCTTTTGGGTCATACCCGGCAATGTTGAGGGTTATCCTGACTCTGCACTCAGAAATTACTCCTGGCGGTGCCCTGGGGAACATATGGGATGCTGGGGATCAAACCTGGGTTGGTCACACGTACATGTACATGTACAATAAGGCTAATGCCCTATTCCCTGAACTGTCACTCCAGTCCTCTTCTAGTTTAAAAAGCTTAACTTTCAAAGAAATGTGACCTTATGATTTTGTCTTTTTTGTAGAAACATATTTGTGTAAAATCCAGTTTGTTGGAAAAATAGTTTAACCCAGTTTTATACTGTTCTAAAGATGTGATGTTGGTTGTTAGCTACACTACAAAATGTTCTTGGAGACTTGTTATAATAAACCTCCTAGGTGAAAAGTTGAGTGACAAGCATGCTGGAAAGAATATAGAAAACCATAGATCATACGGCACTCTATTTTTTGGGGGGAGGTAGTACACTTAGGAGAATTCAAGGCAGATTTCTGACGCTGCAGTCAAGGGTCACTCCTGGCGAGCTTGAAGGTCCATATGGGGTGCTGGGATCGTACCAGGGTCAGCCGAATGCAAGGCAAATACTTTACCCACTGTCCTATCGCTCAGGCCCCTGCCCTCAATTTTATATTATTTTAATAATGTTTTAAATACTCTATGACTCAAACAAAAAATGAAAGCACAGGGCCATAGAGATCAAGAAAAATCTAACTAAAAGATGGAGATCACTTAAGTATTTTCAGGGCTAAAACTTGATTACTCAATTGCATGTTGTTGCCTCTGAAAATCAGAGGACATTTGTTTTAAGGGTTTCTCTTTGAGCATCACACTTACCACCTAAATAGAAAATCATACACATTACCTATATTATCTCAACTAATAACCAATGATGTATTGGTTATATAAAAATACCCTTCCTGTTTGTTCATGCTGCAAAGTTCACTAAATGATAATTACCAATAATTCAAATGAATCGATCTTTTACTTAAGATTATATAAACTGGAAATAAAGGTCAATAACTATTATCAGTATAGTTCATATTTTCTAATCACTTTTTATGTTCAAAGATGTTCACCGTATTTAAATCTAAAGTCCTAAGAACTCAACTCAGCAAGAAATAGCTATTATGTGCATTTGAAAATTAAGATATTTATTAAAGCTCAAACAGTTAAGTATATTGTATTTTCCCCCGGAAAGATAGTAACTGTAGTTGAAATGATAGTTGGTGTTTTTATGACTCCCAATTGTATATCCATTCTATAATATCACTGATGAATAAATGGGCTATCACGGCATGAAATACAAATTCTGCTGCCTTGTCGAAAAGTTCTTTGCTATCTTCCCTCAAGCAGGAACTTTGATATGTGGAGATCTTCAACTGAACAACTTGAGATAAGAACAAGGATTCTTGCCATTTGTTTCAGTGAAAATATCTATCTTTACATAATAATTATTTGCTTTTGTATGGGAGGTTGATATGATAGGGAAATCATCCACTTTGTGCATGGGAGTACTTAATTAAAAAAGTCTTTTCTAATTAAAAGCATTTGGGAGTAGGGATTGAGTAAAACTATTTAAATTACAAGTTGCTAATAGTTCCAAAGTTCATTGGAATTTGATGCTTACAGCTATAATTTGGCATATAAGGAAGCATTGAGATTGTTGAATAGTTTATAGCAGGTGTGAGTTTTTATATGCTGTTTATTGTTATTATGCAGATTTAGACCTACAGATGATGACTTAAGGAAAATATTTGAAATTCTTTGTATAAATGGGTCTGTTTTTATAATATCAAAAAAGACTGATACCGTTTACATTTTTAAAGAATCATTTTTGTTTTGCTTAAGGAGAAAAATTGACAAACTAGCACAAAATTTCCTGCACCACTTTTATGTTACATTAATTTACTGTTTTGCTTTACTTGTTTTTAGTTTTTACTATATGCAAACCACAGCATCCAAAAGGAGAGAGAGAACAAAAGGGAATGCCCCGCCACAGAGGCAGGGTGGGATGCGGGGATGGGGGGTGGAAGGGATACTGGGATCAGTGGTGGTGGAGAATGGGCACTGGTGGAGGGATGGGTACTCGATCATTGTATAACTGAAACCCAAGCACAAAAATTTGTAAGTAAGTCTACAACTGTACCTCATGGTGTTTCACTAATAAAAATCAAAATAAAATAAAGATAACTAAAATATCCTAAAAAATGAAATTTCTAATAATATTCAATATACTATGTTAAATATAGTATGTGTATATATAAATTTTGCTTGTATTTCATATAGAAAACTAGAGTATTGACTAAATTGATCATTTATTTTAAACATCAAATGACTTTTAATAATAACCCCTATTATTAATAAGATTTAATAAGTTTTTATATTAATATGTGGCATACAAATTGAAACAATATCAATTTCTCAATTGGGTAGGAATTCATTTTTTCACTATAAGAAAGAAATTCTTTCAAAAGGAAGAAAATGAGTGGTAGATATTGTAGGTAAATTCTGTACTTTAAAGAACTCATCAGTCGGAACTCACAAGATCTCTTACATAACTTTAAAAAAAGATTAATAAATTGTATTTTCTGTTAAGAAGTAGCTTTTGAAAGAGCCATATGTTTGTACAAAATTTTATCCTGATATTAGGAATCAAAAATTGTGAATTTCATTTATTAAATTGTGTAACTGCAGATAGTATTAATGTTATAGAGAACAAATGTATAAGATTATGTATCTAAGAATTTTGCTATTTACTGAAATAATATTAATATGAAATATAGTTAACCTGGACTATTCTAACATAATGTATTAATCATGAGAAGTAAGGAAAACTAAAACAAGTGATGAAAACAAATGTTAATGATTCATGTGATATTTGATAAGTCAACTAAAGGAAGTCAAAATAAAAGCAAACAAACAGGAACAGATGGGAAGGATCTTTGTCAAGTCATAACCCCTCTTCTAAAACCCCCAAAGGAAGAAGATAATTAAAGAAAATATTTTTTCTTGCTTTTTTTATAATTTTATATTTAGAGTAAGAACATTCTGCTTCTACTAAGCAAAGAAGCAGAGACACAAAGTCTACATTTAACATAAGAAATATTTTAAGAGAGATTGATGTTGAGCACTAGACCTTTTACAAGAGGATACTAAGTAAATATCTTTCCAGTTCATGAAATGCAAATAATAAGTCATTTCCTAAAGTTCTATTTAATATTATATTCTAATCAGATATGTCTTTATATTATATTATAATCAGACATGTGTTTTATAGAAGATATATTCAGTTCTTTCAGATATAATTAAAAAGTAAAAATAAAAGTGTTGCAACAAATTTGACTTTGATGTAACTTACAGCTATAACTGCAGAATCTGAAATGCCCTGAGTTGTGTTAAAGAGAAAATAGGCCAAATTTCACATTCTTTTAAATATTTTACGCATGAACACCTGGACTATTCAGTAATGGACACAGACTCTGTTAAAGAACACAACATAGATATGGTATTTATACAGTAAAATATACTAGTAAAAGTAGTATGGGCTAAAAACTAAAGAACAAGATCCATTCATTTGAACTAAGAGTAGAAGATACATTTGATTACAAGGTCAGTATAGAGTAAAACTATTAACTACGGTTAATACTAAAAGTCAAAAGAATTATAATAGATACCTTTATGTAGTTGTCAGCTCTCTACAAAAAAAAATATAGTGAATGAGATGTACTGGCTAGAAAAACAAGTTCTGCGAAGGACATATACATGTTTTTCAAAGCCCATTAAAGTGAAACCTAGACCTTTACATCAAATTTGAGTTAAGTACAAGAAACCAGGAAAGACACCATATCAACAATTTGCCAACCTGAAGTGAAACTAGATTTTAGATTTAGTGGTATTACAAAAGGACCATTATTGGGCAAGCTGGCCTAAGCACAATTTTGTTCTAAGTGGAAAACTAAGCATACAAACCAGTAATAAAATTGAATTCAAGTGTGTAAAAGGGGCTGGAGTGATAGTACATCGGACAGGGCATTTGCCTTGCTCTCAGACAACCTGGGTTCGATCCCCGGCAGCCCATATGGTCCCCCAAGCACCACCAGGAATAATTCCTGAGTGTAGAGCCAGGAGTAACCCCTGAGCATTGCTGGGTGTGACAAAAAAAGGAAAAAAAAAGTGAAGAAAAGCAATGAGCACAGATGGCTGTGGTTAATTGTTGGTGACTTGGAATTATTCAGTCAACTACAGCTCCAGGTAAAATACATCTCCAAATGACTAGAGCAGCCTGAGAGTATCTCAGTTCCTCTGAGAAATGGAATTCTTGCTGTCAGCACCGTATAGGAGAGGTTCTTTTTCTGAAGTTTAGGTTCAACTATGATGTTGATGTTTTCTGTTCATAAGAATTTTTCTACCAGATATTAAAAGAAAAGACCCTCTGGCTCTATGAATGCTTGCATTTAAAAACTAAATATTCTCAAAAACACAAGCAAAACAAAGTTATGACCATCATCAACTATCTATTGTGTTTCTAAGTAGCAGGCACCAGTCAATTTTAAGCCTAGTGTTAAGAAATTATTCCTCCGGTGAATGTTTTAGTTACAAATGCTCAGAATATACTCAGGATAAAGGGTTTTGGATCCACAGAGTATTACAATAACCTAAATGTCATTATAACTAATTATTATAGGATCTATATCCATGCCTCTTCCAAGTCGCTAGGATGGTGTTCACATTGTACAGCTTAACTATCAAAGAGAAACCGAGTAAGGTCTGGCTATAATGTCATTAGGAGAAAATATCATTGTCCTGTACTTGGTGTATTTATTTATAGCACCATGAATATTGCCTGAAATCTGGTACTTAATAAGTGTCTATAATGGAAGATATTATCAAAATAAATATCACAAAATAAAGGGCAAATGGACCTTATGTGCCTCTGGATGTTACATTGAGAACAGAATTTTACTTGCTTATATACAAAATTAAAATACGCATTCGGTACCTAATCATAAGGAAATGTCAGTACAAAATGAGAAAGGTTTTAATGTACTATATTCGTCAAAAATATCAGCTTTTACAATATTTTTAATAGGTCAAGGTAGCACTTCAGATTTAAGACACTAAAGAAAAATTGAGAAGACAGAGATAAAATATTCCCAGACAGATAAAATGCTCGCCTTGCATGAAGTGTACCCAGATTTGATAAGTCACTGCATCTGATCCCTGAGCCTGGCAGAAGTGATCTCTGAATGCAGAGCCGGGAGTAAGCATTGAGCACAGCCAAGTGCAGCTCACTCAAAACTAAACAAAAATAATGAGAACTATACATAATATGTGAATCTAATAAGGGTTCAGTAATGCTATAAAAATTTTATAAGTACTAGCAAGGACATGATTAGGTTTGCTAATAAATTAGGATTTCAATAACATATCAAAATATTGTGTCAATGAACTATTTACTCAGCCAATTTATATGCAGTACTTCTGTATGAGGAACAGCCTTAATTTTAGCGCATATTCTCTGAAATGGGCTGGAGCAATAGCACAGCGCATAGGGTGTTTGCCTTGCACATGGCGACCTGTGTTCAATCCCGCCGCCCCTCTTTGAGAGCCAGGCAAGTTACTCACGGTAACTCGCCCGCACAGCAGAGCCTGGCAAGCTCCCCATGACGTATTTGATATGCCAAAAACAGTAACAACAAGTCTCACAGTGGAGACGTTACTGGTGCCCACTTGAGCAAATTGATGAACAACTGGAGGATAGTGCTGCAGTGCTACTTTTGTGGTGCCAACTCAAACTATTATTAATAGTAATAATAGTAGTAGTAGTAGTAGTAGTAGTAGTAGTAGTATTTGCTATTTGACCACAACTGAATGTAGTCAGGGCTTATTCTTGCCTCTCTACTAAGAAATTTCTTTGGGCTGTGTTCAGGGGACTATATGCAGTGTTGGGGTTGAATTGAGGTCAAGTATGCGCAAGGCCATCACTTAACCCACTATACTATCTCTTCACCTCAGTTGAACTATTTTGTCTCTTATCTTAAAAACAAAAAACAAATGTTTGGGGTCAGAGTGATAGTACAGTAGGTACTAACACTTATTAGGCCCTGTAGCTTGCCGGAGTCTCTGAGAGGGACAGAGGAATCGAACCCGGGTCAGCCGTGTGCAAGGCAAATGCCCTACCTGCTGTTCTAAGAAAAAAATAAAGAATGGAAATGATTTTTCCAGCAGTTCCACTTTTGGCAGTGCTCAGTCTGGGTTCTACCCTCTGGGAACACTCATGGAAGGACTCGTGTTAGAACAATTGGGGTTAGAGGGCTTGAACCTGGGTTGGCTGTGTTGTAGAAAAGCATCCTTCCTTCTGTACAATTGATCTGACCCATGAAATGAAAATTCAATACATCACCAGTATTATACATGTACTAAAAACATATTGAAGATGGATAACCTTTCCCTGAGTATATGGGAAGTATCCTCATGATAAATATGCTTTCTAGTTAATCACAAATTTTTTTGCAAAGTTCCACTCATGTTTTAGACGGTGAAAACATGTATAGTGAATTTAATAGTTATTAGAAAAAACCAGGTTCAGATTCACGAAGTTGGGCTGAGGATACAAACATAAAATAGATTCTGGTCAATAGATCTATTATTTTTCAATGGTGAATTTCATAAGCAGTTGTAATCCTTACAAAATCAGGTTAACAATATTATCTATTTGAACTGAGTTTGCTAATATGTATTTGCTTTTTGGGGGGGTATACAAACTTACTATTTCCTTTACCTGTGTTTGGGAAAAAAGTATTTTTAGAAGTTTATCAAAAACTAAAAACAGATCCCCCAATTCTTTAAAAGTTTTGCTTTGTTCTGTGAATAAGAAAAATTATATTGCTTGTAGGACATTTTGGTAAAGTATTTTTGAGTGTTTGTTCTAATTAAGCACTCATTAGTAAGAAGCGAGAACCCATCAGAGTGGTTAATGTACCAGCAAGTGAGAATTAGGTACTTTGCACTTAGGTTACCTTGTCCTGATTGGAAGGTGAGACCTCCCAACTTCAGCAAGGTAAAACACAATGGAAACTCAAGGCTTTCTACTTTCTTCAGTGCATTTCTGGGAGGAGAGAGGACTAAGAAAGAGAATGTACAAGAAATAATCAACTGATGGCGTATAAGAGCCTGAGTGGTGAATGGACAAATGATCTACTTTGCTTAATTAAAACAGCACTGAAGAAAAGTGAGGCCTTGTTTGAGAAAATAAAATTCTGTACAGAAGGAAAACAAGACTCTTACAAATCAAGCATCTGTATCCTTTCAAACCAAGCATTTATATTTGCATCTCTACAAGAAACAAGCTAAATCCTCTGTGAATAAATTGAGTTTTCAGAATAAATTTGTGTGTTATTTCTGGGTAAAAACCAAAGGTGGCAATTAGAAGGGCAGCTCTTGTCAGAGCCTAGTTATTTTCTTTTAAGTTTGGAGGAAAAAATCATCATCTTTAAAGAGTTGAGCGCTCTCTTCTTTTTTTCTATTTTCTATAGCATGACTAATTCAGTAATTTTAATAAAGTTATATTTGTTTAGGGAAATAATTGTAGTGAATAAAGTTCTGAATCTCTGGAACTTTAGCATATTTATATAATGCTGAAATAAAAATGCTGGTCAAGGGCTAAATTTACCAACTGAAAATTCAGTGAAATACCTCACATTTTTCAGTAAATATAAAGATTTTAAAAACTAACGCTATGTGGAGAAAAGGTTTTCTTTATAAGTTAACTAATAAAATTGTCGAATGTCATTCCGGGGCAGTATTTTAGTTCTTCTGTCAGTATACCTCAGTTTGTATTACTGAACACACAGGAAAGATTCTTAACTTTGGGTAATATGAAGAACTCTAAGTGAAATGCAATTGAGTTTTATAAAATGGACTGTATTTCAGAGAAAATACATACAGTAAAACAAAACTGTATGTTTCCTAATACAGCATTTCTTTCTTAATATTTCTCCCTTCTCTCCCCCCACAAATTTGGAGAGGATTTTAGACCACATTTAGTAGTGCTCAGTGCATTCTCCTGGTTCTGTGCTCAGGAATAAACCCCGGTATTGCTTGAGAGACAATATGCAGCAACAGGAAAGAAAGTGGGTCTGCCACATGCAAGGGAAGCATCTTCCCTCCAGTCCTATCTTTCTGGCCCCTCTAAACATGTATATGTATACAAATTTTACACTAATAAGAGATTTCTTGAACTGCTTCTACTAGTGTAATTCTACTTGGGATGAAAAATAGGTATTACGTAGGACATTGATTATCTCCATATATGAAAACTATAATTGACAATTTTGGGACGAGAGGTCACACCCAGCTGTGCTAAGGGCTTTATCAGGGCTCTGTGTTCAGAATCATTCCTTAGTAGGCTAAGAGGTCCCGCTATGAGGTGCTGGGATTGAACCTGGACCAGATGCATGGAAGTAAAGAGGATGCTTTCCTCACTCTATTCTCTCTGGTCCTTAATTGGCAACAGTGGCCAATATTAAAAATTTCGGCATGTAGTAATTTTATAAGATCACTTTATAAATGTGGTATAAATAACAATTAAAAACATAGTAACATAATAATGAAGTTACTAGCACCTAAAGAACTACAAAAATGAATGGAAATTATTTTAGTTATTCCTAGATAAAGTATCAATACAGATATGGGG